AATTGATTCCAAAATGATAAATTTGTGATATTAAAACATTTGTTAAATGACGTTTCTTTGAAGGTTGAGGTGAGTCACTACTTTTAATTTTTAGTTAATTTTAGTTTAACGATATTAATATCTTATTAGATTGTACATCAAATCGGCTAATTTGATGGTGACTTTATCTCCAACTTCCAAGGATATATAGAGATTATGTATGCTGAAGATGACTCCAAAGTGAGTCGAAACGTTCAAAATTTTTATGAATAAATAGACAATTACGCAATAAGAACCACGTTTGACTCTCAATAGCTTGATCCATTGATCCATATTTTTTGGTTTTACATAAAATATATTACTAGTTTATTCATTATATTCTTTCTGTTAGCGTTATATGTATATACAATATTACTTTTACAAGTAATATGATTATTATTTCATATTAGAGAATCAGGCGTTCTAAAAAAAGATATTTTTTAACAGGTTATGGGCCCAGAGCGCTCGTATTTGTCGGCTCTTTGATATTACTTAAAAATAAAAATATTTCTCATAAAGGAAAACGTTTCTTCAGATATCATACGTTTATCATTTAGAAATATAATAACAGATTGTGAATCATATTGATATTAAAAAAGGTTTTCTTAGGAGTGAAAGATAAAATAAGTTTATAGTAATAAAATTAAAGCTGTTTGATGTAATAATAATAATATAAAAATTGTGCTGAATATTGGACTGAAGCGAACTGAGAAAGTTTATTTTTTTTTAAAAAAAAGATCTATTATATTGATTTGTAAGAATAGTGTTTTTTAAAAAAAACGATTGTAAAATTATTTTTTTTTCATTATAGAAATAGATATAATGGAAAAAGTAGTGAATGACGATATTGTTAGTATTGATAAGTTGTCGACTTTAGAAGACTATCCTATTTGGAAATTTCAATTAAAGATACTGTTTAAAGCCAATAATTTGTTTGATTTAGTGACGATAGATAAACCAGTTGCGGAACGTAATGATAAATGGTTAAAAGAAGATGCAAAGGCACAAAAGTTAATAATAACTACGATTGATAAAAGACCGCTTTTGCATCTACTTAATTGTAAAACAGCTTTTGAAATGTGGACAAAACTAATAACGATTTTTGAAAGAGACAACGAACAGCAAAAATGCAATCTATTACAAAATTTTTACAGCATATCGTTTGATAAAGGAGCAGATATTGTAACTTACATTAGTAAACTTAAAAATCTTGCTAATAGGTTAAAAACACTGAGAGTAGATTTGGACGATAATATGATTGTTTCTAAAGTACTTGTGACTTTACCAGAGGAGTTTGCACATTTTGCAAGTGCATGGGATTCAACGGAAATGGAAAATAAAACACTAGAAAATTTGACTGCCAGATTAATAGCGGAAGAGATGCGGATAAAAGCAAGACATCAAGAAGAAAAAGGAGTAGCTTTTAAGGTAACAAGTAAAAAGTGTTTCAGATGCAGTAAATTAGGACATGTAGCAAAAGATTGTAGAGTTAAGACTAATCAAGCGAACAAACAGGTACGGTGTTTTCGATGTAATAAAATAGGTCACATTGAAAAATTCTGTAAAGAAAAGACGCAAAATAAGAATCCAGAAGGTTGTAGCATTTGCAAGAAAACAAATCATAATGACAAGAATTGTTTCTTTAGGAAAGACAAAAACAAGAAGTCTGAAGATGAAGAAAAAGTATCTTTTCTTGCTGCAAAATTGGAAGAAGGAGATCAGTGGATTGTTGATTCTGGAGCAACGATGAATATGACAAATATCAGTAAAAATATTTAAAATTTTAGAAGACTGGATACACAGTTTGGTGTAGCTAAAGCCAATGAATCGATGAAAGCTGAAGGATCAGGGATGATGGAGTTTGAAAACTGCAAATTAAAGGAAGTAATTTATGTTCCAGAGCTAAGTAAGAATCTATTGTCAGTAAATGCAATAACTGATAGTGGAGGTCAAGTTTTGTTTACCGGAAATAGAGTTGAAGTAAGTGTTGACAATAAAGTTTTTTTAAAAGGCGATAAGTTGAAAAACGGTCTTTATCAAATAAAATTGAAAGTAGAAGAGAATAATGAGGCGCATATGATTGAAAACACAGTAGATAAAGCTGTAGTGTGGCACAGGAAATTGGGTCACATAGGAAATGAAGGCATGAAAGAACTTCAGAAGATTAGTGACGGGATGAATCTTTCTGTGACCGACTTCAAGAAATTGAATAAAAATTGCAAGATCTGTTTGGAAGCAAAACAAACTAGATTAAAGTTTGACAATGCAAGAGGAAGAGCTGAAAGACCGCTGCAGATTATACATACGGATTTGTGTGGACCAATTGATCCTGTTACATGGGACGGATATAAATACTTTATAACTTTTCTTGATGATTACACGCATTACACAATGGTGTATCTTCTCAAATCTAAAAATGAAGCTGCCGACAAAATAAAAGAGTATGTTACAAGAATGGAAGCACGTTTGAATTTAAAAGTGTCGAAGATAAGATGTGATAACGGCAGAGAATTTGTTAATAAAAGTGTCTTTTCTTGGAGCAAGCAAAAAGGCATAGAGATTGATACAACGGTACCATATACTCCTCAGTTAAACGGAAGAGCGGAACGACTGAACAGAACATTGCAAGAAAAAGTAAGAGCACTGCTTTTCGATACTGATATGAACAAAAACATGTGGGGTGAAGCTCTTTATACAGCTGTCTATATAATTAACAGATCACCTACTCAGTCATTGAAGGTAACTCCTTTTGAAAAATTAGAAGAGAGGAAGCCCAACTTGAATAATCTACAAGTGTTTGGTTGTTCAGCGTATGCAAAAGTACTCGGCAATTTTAAGAAACTAGATAAAAGAAGTAACAGATATATTTTTGTAGGATACGCACCTAATGGTTATAGACTGTGGGATGAAGAAAGAAGAAATATAGTTATAGCCAGAGATGTGAAATTTGTCCTAGATGAATCAGAGGAAGATAAAAATAAAAATAAATCTAGAAACTTAATAAAAGGTCATATTAAAAATTTCGTAGAAACAGATGAAGAGATAGAAGAAGATGATCGGAGACTCGATAAAGCTAATAGTGAAGACGAAGAATTTTTTGAAGAAGAAGATGAATACTTATCAGCAGAAGGAAAGGAAAGTCAAGCTGACTCTGAAGAAGATCCAGTGAAAGAAAACAAAGAAGTACAAGTAAGAAGATCAGAGAGGGTGAGAAAACCTGTAATTTTTGGTGATTTTGTGTATCTCACTTATAAAGAGGCGATGACATGTTCTGACAGACAAAAATGGACAGAAGCAGTTGATGAAGAAAAACAATCTTTGAAAGAAAATAAAGTATGGGAAGTGTTGAAAGAAGAAGATGTGGAGATAAGAAAACAAAAACCATTGCATAGTAAATGGATCTTTCGTGTAAAACAAGATGGTAAATATAAGGCCAGACTTGTAGTTAAAGGATGTGAGCAAAGAAACGATCTGGATTATCAAGAGACTTATAGTCCTGTGATTGGTCAGAATGCTTTGAGAAGCATTTTAGCTATAGCAACAGCAAAAGATTATAAAATGCTGATTTTTGATGTGAAGACAGCGTTTCTTTATGGAGAGTTAGATGACGAAGTTTATATGTATCCACCAGAAGGTTACAACTACAGTGGTAAATTACTGAGACTTAAAAAGGCATTATATGGACTTAAGCAAGCACCTTTAAGATGGAATATTAAATTTACTGATTTTATTAAGAGAAAAGGATTTAAAGTCGTTAATACAGAACAATGTTTGTTTAAAAGAACTGATACTGAAATGATTTTAGGAATTTATGTTGATGATGGTTTGCTTGTTGGAAAAGATATTGATAAAATGAATAAATTTATAAAACAAATGAGTGAAGAATTTAAAATTAAAATAGCAAGAAATGTCGAGAACTTTGTCGGTTACGAACTTAAGAAAACAGAAGATTTTTTATTCCTGAAACAAGAAGATTATATTGAAAATATACTGGAACAAAGTGGTATGAATCAAGCAAAACCAGTAAAAGTCCCTTTGATTCAAGGAGAGAAGTCACTAACAACACTTAAAAATGACAGTTATCCTTATAGGAAAATGGTTGGATGTTTACTCTATGTATCAACTAGAACGAGACCAGACATAGCATTCGGTGTGAATTATGCAAGCAGATTTGTAGAGAGTCCAATGCAAGAAAATGTCAATGATTTGAAACATATTCTGAAATTCCTGAAGGGAAGTATAGATCAAGGTTTAAGATACAAGAGGAATGGTAACATTAAACTTTTGCAAGCCTATTCAGATGCTGATTTCGCCGGTGATATGGAAACCAGAAGAAGTACAACGGGTTTTGTAATATTTTATGCTGGAGGACCTATAAGCTGGTGTTCAAGAAAGCAGCCTATTATAGCACAATCGACTACAGAGGCCGAATATGTTGCAGCAGCAGAATGTTGTAAAGAACTGGTTTATCTAAAGTCTTTGTTGGAAGAGTTGTTGAATGATAAAATTGAAATTGAACTAAATATGGATAATCAAAGTGCCATAATGTTAATTAAAAACGGTATAGTTAATAGGAGAAGCAAACATATTGACGTTAAGTTCAGATATATTCATGAACTAGTTAAAGAAAAGAAAATTACTTTAAAATATTGCCAGACATCTGATATGTTGGCTGACATATTTACTAAACCGTTGAATTTTACGAAGTTTGTTAAACTGAAAAATGAGATTGTTTGTTAACCCGGTTTGAATTAAGGAAGAGTGTTGGTTTGTGTAATTTAAACCGTTGTTCTTTAAATACTTTTTATTGAAGTTACTAGCGTTACTAGAGTTATGTTATGTTCTATAAGCAGAAGTTTGCAAGCATGAAACAAAAGGTAATTTGATTGGAACTTAGTAACAGCACTTTCATTTGTGTGTGATTTACTTTTGTTTAGATAGACATGGTGAGCTCATCATCCCGATTTCTGTAGTCGCATTATAAATTAAGAATACTGTTTGTATTGTATGTTGATTGCTTGTAATATCTGAAGGTAATGTAATAATCTCGACTCTAACGTATGATATATTGAATTATGTATATCTGAAATATATTACTGTTTCCATCGAATTGCCATCGTCGCAACTTAGATATTTTTTAACAACGACCGTTACAGTTTAACTTTTTAAGTCAGTTTTGTCTGAGACTTGTATGTGAAGACTTTGTAAATGTCAATTTGTAATTGATTCCAAAATGATAAATTTGTGATATTAAAACATTTGTTAAATGACGTTTCTTTGAAGGTTGAGGTGAGTCACTACTTTTAATTTTTAGTTAATTTTAGTTTAACGATATTAATATCTTATTAGATTGTACATCAAATCGGCTAATTTGATGGTGACTTTATCTCCAACTTCCAAGGATATATAGAGATTATGTATGCTGAAGATGACTCCAAAGTGAGTCGAAACGTTCAAAATTTTTATGAATAAATAGACAATTACGCAATAAGAACCACGTTTGACTCTCAATAGCTTGATCCATTGATCCATATTTTTTGGTTTTACATAAAATATATTACTAGTTTATTCATTATATTCTTTCTGTTAGCGTTATATGTATATACAATATTACTTTTACAAGTAATATGATTATTATTTCATATTAGAGAATCAGGCGTTCTAAAAAAAGAAGCGTCTGAGCAATTGGCTAGGAAATCCGTAGAAAACTACTTCCTTAGAAGGAAGTACCGTTTTCTTTCAAGGAAAATATGTTAGTGAGGGACGTCCTGTGTAATCCTAGAAGCTTAATAACACGGTGTATACATTATTTTAGGTCTATGATGGGAACGTACACTTTGTTAGACGAGAACTTCCGGAACACCGCCGCCACAATTTCGCTCTACATTCGGATCAGTTACCTCGGCAAATGTCTCATAACGGAGATCACGCAAGTCAAAAGTATACGCGGAGCATTTTATACTCGCGGAGACTGGATGAGAAACAGCCGTATTTCTCTCGACAGCTGACATCGAAGGAACTTCAAAGCGGCTGTTGGGACGACGATGGTTTACTTCGTGTTTCTTCTGGTCGTTTAATATGCTGCTGTGAGGAGCTTGTTAAAAAGGAGGTCGCGGATTTAGTTAGTAATTGATTTAATCGCTTTAGACAAGATGCTATTATAAAATCTTTATGTGTATTTGGAAAACATGAGAAAATATCTTGCTTAATTTAAAAAAATAAAGCTTTTTCTTAAATGAAATCCAGTATCCTAATGCTATTTCAGTGACTGGAATAAAGCCTTCCTACAAAATATGTTTAAAACAGACGGTAAAAGTCTACTTTTGGAATAATAAACTTTTTTACAATGAACGATTCATTGATCTTGTGAATTTAACAGAGCAACTGTACGTGTGTTAAAAATTTAGATAGGCATACATTTTGTCCAAGAATAAAAGATATAATTGAAAACAAATTTACGGATCAATACATAATTATTAGTCGTGAGAAGAGGAGTCGTTGTAGCTATCGCTGCGAATGCCAAGACGATAATTGTTGTAGATGTCGCTGCTACAATTGCAATGAGAACAACTACTGTAGATGCATTTGTATAGATCTTATACTGATCTGCAGATTTCTGTTATGGAAGTTGCTGTGGATACTGTGACAATTAAAAAAAAAACAGTTTCTGCTGACAAAGTTGCGGATTCTACTACGATTTCTGTTTCGACAGTATTGCGGATGTCGCAATTAAAAGAGAGACAGAATCTACTGCAGATTTTGCTGCGATTTCCGTTAGAAAATTTAATGAGAATGTTGATACAATTAAATAAAGGAAATAAGTGTGCTAACACAATTATTCTTCCATTGCTGCGGATATCCTTACAGTTAAACAAAGAAATGCACCTGCAAATGCAATTGCAAACTTTGCTATGACTTCTGTTGCAGAGGATGTTGCTGCAATTAAAGAAGAACTCGATAATGCAATTGTAGACTCTACTGCGATGTCTGTTGCGAAAATTGCTGATTATGGAGTATTAGGTAAGAGAACAAATGGAGGCACAGATGTGAATCGCGCTTGCAAAGGTGTATGAGATAATTACAATATCCCAATAATAGCGACCGATAATGAATAATAATCAATGAGCAAGGCGTCATTATCGAAAGAGGATCTCTATTTTGCATTTTAATTTGCATCTTTTAATTCTGATGAATTTTCATAAGAAAATTATGATTGAAGGAAAAATAAGACTGCAAAGAAAAATATGACAAAAATTAATTTATATATGTGTATAATTTCTAATTTTATTTATTAAATCGTGAGATTAGTGAATAATGTATAATGGAGGTATACACATAAGAAAAATACGGAATTTCTGTTCTATAAGACGTCAAGGTAGATGCTGTTGCGATAGCGAAAACGAAAGGATATGCGATAAAGGACAATGGAGAAAGAGCTTTCAAGAAAGCGTCCTCCGCGTTGAGCAAATCGAAGCGCGGAAGAAACACGGCGACAATCGGTATCACGGAAAGAGGAAAGAAAATTTCTCCTTCTTCGTCGTCACCTTTCTCGAGTCTGCAAATGTATCCTTTGTGCTGTCAATTGCAACCACATCTGACTTATTTCACCGATTGTTTCGACGTTTCACCCTGTTATTGTTATTGGACAGCCTGTCCTTTCCAATTCTTTTACAGTGCATAAACGAATTCACACGAACCATACAGCCCCGTCATTTATACGGCAACAAGTTAATGGTTAGATAGTTGGTAAAACTGATATAAATCAATTCTTTTTTTAATATTTTCTATGTTGACATTTAAAATAAATTCGTAATTTGATTTTTATTTAATACTACATTTCTTTATTTCCTTTTTTGTGCTTCTTAAAATTTATTTTTTATTAAAAAGATACATTAGGCATTAATAATGAAGAAAGATACGGCGATAACCCGCAAACCTTCTGGTATAATTGAAGAAAATACCCGTGAAAGCCTCAAAAGCGTAATCAAGATACATTAGAGTTTTCTCTCCAGTTTATTTGAATGATCTGGATTAATGATAGAGTGTAATAAATTAAAAAGTGAGGATTTCATGTCTTCAATATAATACTTCTAGCTGTGAAAGTTTCTTGTTTAATTATATTTGAAAGGAAGGTGCTTTAAGATCTCTCTTTTCCAGACGAACGGAAATTGCTTTACCATATACAATCACATCCGTCCTTTATTATATCAATAATAGATACACTATATATAAATATATAGAATATTATTACATATAAGAACATATAACAAGCTAGCAACGTAAAAAATAACTGGTAAATGTAATTGTTATAAATGTAAAAATGTAACAAATTAAAATTGTTAAGAATTTTTGAAAATATATGTGAAATCAAATATTACTATTGTAGAAAAATCATGTAATAGTGTAAATGTTTGTAACTATAATATTCTATTTTATACACTAACTCTTACTTTCTAATAGTGGTTAATATTTTGATCATACAGTATTTTAATCATCATTGATTAATATCATGATCATCATGTATTGAGATCTTAACAAGAATCACTTGAAGAATTGTTTAGAATTTATGTTTGACTCTATAAAGATATGTGTCCGTATAATTAATAATACCAATACCGCGTATACACGCTTCCTGATTCCTCTCTCTCTGCATGTGAGACTTATAGTTTAATTGATTGACCTTTACAAAAATTAAGAGAGAGAATTAGAAACAGTGAAAGGTTCCGGTTAATGAAAGTACGAGACGTGTGTATCTGTAACATAATGTCTCCTCGTGAATCAAGACGCGCGGCTATTTCTCCTTCCACTATGTAATAATCGAATCTTAAGTGTTGCTTTAAATATGTTAGCGTTACGAGCCTCTTTATAAGCGCGGTATGGTATATCGAAGATTATATTGAACGTGTTTGAAGAGAAGCAGTACGATACGCTCCGTCGGCCTTTTATCTTATCCGATTCGCATCTTATTGATTTCACAAGACATTTGTATACATTCGATCTAAGTAAGTATAACAAGTGTACAGTGATTATCATTAATTGCATGAGGTTTTTTGATCGCGTTATGAAATTTAGTTTTAAAGTATGTAACAACAATTTTTGTATATTTTTTCATTAGAATTTTATATATTTATATTAAGTGTACAAATTAGTTCGATCCGTTTTTTGTGTTCAAAAATGCATTTATTTCAAAACGAAATGAATGAACAGATTAATTAAAATATTGTCCATTGCTGGCTACTATTTTTTCCCATCTCTCAAATAATTTTCGAAAAAATGACTCTTCTTTGGAGGCCATCATCTTCTGGAAAACGGACCGAACTAATTTGTACTTCCGATAGTTTGTAAAAGAGCTAAAGTAGATATAATGAGAACGCACAGAATGGTGCAGGGTTGACAGAGGAGCTTATCGATAGATTTCAAGATTTCAACATCGACCTCGATGCATAACATTGCACGCGGATAGACATACTTTCTGAATATAGGCTACTGGCATGATTTTCCTCTTACTGGATCGTAACTTTGATGGAGCTCTCATGAAAGTTACCGAGATATATCGATTTGATGCATCAAACATTTTTCGCGTCAGATTGTATAACGAGAAAATACTGATCGTTGAAGGAATATATATTTATAATAACATTATATGTATATCAATTATTAAATGATCAATGATACATATATGATAGATGCCTGATATAATAAACAACTTGTTTTGGACGTGAACCATCTAATAGATATGTCAACAAGAGAGTATATGTAATTGAATTATTTTGGCGCAATATTCGATCGTATTACTGACATAAATTTTGAATTTTCCGTCGATAAATACAGATAACGAATACACGAAATGATAAATCAAATAAACTGTTTTACATACATATATAATTTCGCTTTAACGCGCAATATATCTCGTGTAGGTTACATATCGATTTTGTGTTTAGAAACAGATTACGCACAATCTCGATAAATATCATGTTATTAGACTGGCTTATTCGCGCCAGAATATTATTTGCGAATATTCAGAAACGCTATTTGAACTTTACGGGCTTTTGCGCAATCGTACTTTCTTGCTCATTGTTTCGGTACCAAACGCGATTTAGCGTGCATTTTCGCTACGTTAAGCCCGCAGTGGGATTACAAGAAAGGGGGGGTTGTAAACTGCGGGATCCGGAGCAGCGTAGGCGGTAGCGATAGAGACGCATTATCCGCGTTTACGCCAGCAGAAATATCCCCTGGCTGGTTCATACATATTAACGTAAGTCATTGCACCAGTCCTTACGCGAGGAAACTGTACGTGAGGAAACAAAACAGTCGAGAAATCGCGACCGCGCTTTATGAGCGGGCCATGGGGTACGACCACTATTACTATACTGTAGATTACGGTATCGCTGCCTGTTAGAACTAAACGACGCGCGAATATCGCCGATAAAGATTCAACGAAATCGATAACGTCAACAAAAATAACGTAACTGTAGTTTTGCTATAATAGTCTATCATAAAGCGAATCAGATTGCGTATAAACACGTACATTGTTTAAAAAAATATAATTTTACATATCAATTTGAGTATATAATCCAAGATTCTTAGTATTCTATTTACGATAAAAATATGTATCGACATGATGGAAATAGTATTAATTTTTAATTATTATTATTAAATTTTTGTATCCCAACTGTCAAAAATCAATTTGATTCTAATGAAAAGCTAGAAAGTAACGTCAATCCTATTTTCCATTTTTATTTCTATAGTGAATCAATATCACTCGAGAATTACATCTCTTCGTAATACAATTTTTCTTGATATAGCAGAACTTGTTAGCTGATGCTTATAGAAAAAACCTTGCGTATACATAAATCTGATAATTATAATAAAAAATATATATACTATAATAAAATATATATATAGTAGAATATACATGTATAATAATAGCGGAAAATACAAATAAAGTTAATGACATAATATACATATATTAGAAGCTTTCTAACTACATTCGCAATGGTTTTGTGATGAAGAAAATCCTTTGAGCGATCACATTGAACTTGATAATACATTAATCATAATTTTCAATTTTCATACAATCTACTACTAAGGTGAATGTCCCGATTTCTACTCACTATGAACACGTCTTATTAATATAAATATTCTATTGATAGAATAAATTAAGGAAGGTTAATTATAAATAATTTATAATTAACCTTCCTGTAATTTATTCTATCAATAGAATATTTATATTAATAAGACGTGTTTATAGTGAGTAAAAATCGGGACATTCACCTTACACATAATTCGGTACGTGTATGTACCCATGTGTGTAAAGATAGCTCAAAAGTGAGCCAAACATGCAGATATATTTGACTTAATTTTTTTATACACTGATTTTCGCGCTTAATTCTTATGTCCTTTTATATTATATAGTTTTTACAATTATATTACAGTTATATTTTACATTGAGAAATTAAATATTTGCATATTGAATTATACGATTAGATGTCAGTATGTAAATAAATAGTTTACTATATAGTGATTATAGGACACGATTACGATAACCAAGGCCCCTCAAAACAATAATGATTTTCGGAAGCAATTATAGCAAGGAACACGAGAAAAATAGTAAAATAATTCTCCAACCATTAAGGCTCCTGAGTAGTCGCGACGGCCATGTTAGAATTGTGACGGCATAGGCGAGAAATATACATATATGTAGGTACATAATTTTTCTTGTGTGCCATTTGTAAATAAAGACAATTTAAATAAATGTAAATGACGAGATTGCTTAAAAACACTTGTAAAAATTGACAAAAACTATCCTTTCCTCCTTTGATAGTCAATGGTCGTAAAAAGTACGTAAAGTGAGCCTATAGTCGGGCAGAAGCATACAGTTTAACAGCTAATGAAACGAGTGAAATATACGTTTTTACGTACAAAATTTCAAGATAGCTATAGTTTCCGTCCATTTTTACGAGTACGAGACAAAAGTCACATTTTCATAAATAAGCAAATATTAACAAAATGGCACGCAAGAAAAATTTTGTCGTCAAAACATCACTTTTCCATGCCTATTAGTTCAGTCTTT